ATACCTGTTTGTCTCAGATAAGTCATAAATATAAAATAAAAATGTCTGTCTTGTAATTCATAGCGATTTAAATATTTGCTCTTAGTAACGCATGGCAGGGAATGACAGGAATGACTTTGAAAGGGTTCGACACGCTTTGATACGCATGTTCGTATTCCTCTTTTGTTTCTGCTCGCAGTGGCGACCATAGTCTCGTGCCACTTCTATAAAGTGATGAAGGTTGGCAGCCTGGACATATGTTGCCCATTTCTTTTTAAAGAAGCATCTTTCTTTGATTTGGGAGAAAAGAATACATCAAATTGGAGGCCAATAGATGAGAAAGCTTTCAATTAGAGCTAAAAGTGCTCCATTAATTCACATTTTATTGGTGTTTTATTCTGGGGATTTTGAGGCAAAAAAAATGCGCCTGAAAAAAACTCAAAGCACCCTCACTTTGACAAAGATAGAGACTCCTGCCCTTCACCACCGGTCCTGAAGGAGAGCACACAAATGTCTTGGGTCAGTCGGAGTTTCCGTGACATTAGTGTTTTCCTTTGGGCCCTGGTTAAGGCTAAAACAGGACAAAGGCATTCAAAACATCCAAGGATTAATTCAATTTAGTCCAAGTACAAGTCTGAATACTTCTTTTTCCCATTAAACAGAATGTCACTTAATTTGTCTCATACTTGTACCTGAGCCGTGTTGCCAAAATTTCAGGTTGTCCATAAAAACACCTACTGGCTGATTTAACAGGGCACAAAATCACTTAAGATTATAACTGTTCGTAAACAGATGTCCAAAGACCAAGACAACCTTATTTCCTGTTCCTGTTTCCTGTTGTTCCATATGACAGCATTGAATTATACGACTGACAAACCAAAAGTGTTTATTAGTCTGTGAAAGGCAATTACAGGCAAGAAACAGGAGTCACTCTCCAATAATCTCATAATGAGATTTTTTTAAGATGCAGACAGCTCAGGCAAATAAATTGCCGCTCATTAAACGCAACATATAAAATTAACTGGATTACATACAACTGCGATACTGTCACTGGCTCATAGTTTTTAATTTCAATTAAATAAAAACTTGAAGTCAACAGATTAAGCAGACAGATGTAAAAAAAAAGAACAAACAAAAAAACAAAACAAAAGAGTTTCATTGTGGCTTTTGAGATGATGGGCTGGTTATAATTAGAAGTCCACATGCTTTGGCTAGCTTGTCCAGCTGCTGAGATTTGGTGACAGCTAGGGCCTGGTGGATTCTTTTTCTGGGACGGCTCCTGTCTCCCATCGGTTTCCAAGGTCACTGGTTAAGGTGCTTGAATGAATGCCCCCTTGTGGTCACGCTGGTGCAAGACTGAGACTGCGTTCCATTTACCTCAAAGGTTGGAAGCCAAAGCTGGGAATGACGTCACACCCAAGTTAAGCATGTTCCAGTACAACTCGGAAAGCCATTTAGCAATACCAGTTCTAGCCAGGTTCATCATTAGCAATACTAGTTGATAAACCATTATGTGGTATTTTGTGCATACAAACATTGTAGCAACATGTCCGCAGATATAGGTTGGAGAGTTCTGTGTGTATGACCAATATCATGAAACACATATAAGACATAAGTGTTACTATACAGTATATAGCTGCTGCTTATACTTCTGTTGATGAAGGGAGCAGCCATCTTGAATTCTGAGGTGGGGGTTGTAGAGGTTCCTCTGACTTTCCGAGTCAGAACTCCAGAACTTCAGGGGGGCGTTCCAGCTGAAATTTCCGAATAGGAACTCAGAATGTCTGAGTTCCAAGTTCAAATGGAACGCACCACGACTCCACTCACGCTTGCTTAACAGCCAAGGCTGTTGATATAAATTCCTGATCTCACACCCCCTTCCTACTAATAGAGAATCTGGGGAGCGTAAAAATTGTTGAAATGGTTCTGGAAACCACCAAGACCGTGATTAAATGCCCCCTGGTAGTAGCACTACCAAACCAGTACAGGAACCACTAGGTCCTTCATCATGTAGAGCAGCTCTATTTAAAAAGCTGTTCCATTGATCTCAAGCAGCCCCATCTCCCTGTAAATCTGTTCAATGTTCTTGTATTGAGTCTGTGAATCACCACCAGCCTTTATCACTCCTCCACTCTGATCTTGAAACAAAAGCCAGAGCTTCTCCGGACAGCAGTCATTAAGTTACATCACAGTCAGCTGGGAATCATTCGAATGGCCGCATTATTCCTGCAACCACCGTCTCTGTCATTGTTTTATTAAGCGGCCACACAAATCAGGAAAAAACCCGAAGCCTCGAGCCGCCCGAAAGCGGCACTCAACGTCGACTCTGGGGTCAGACGCGCTCGCTGGCGCTTATCCGGGGCATTCTGTCAGCGGTGACTGCATCCCTGCAGAAGCAGACGCATTTACAGCAATGCAGGGGTTGCCGCTAAAAGTGCAATTGCAACACTCACTTTCAGCGTGACGTTACAAAATCTGCCCATTTACAACAAACATCTGTCAGCAGGCCATCCGATATGTTAAACCACAAGTATTTCTTTCTGAAATCCTGCAACAACTTCAGGTAGAGGGCAAGGGTAGAATCAACAGTGAGGGACTCTTTTATGTATCTGATGCTTTTAACAGAAGCGACTTACAGTAGAGTAAAGCTTTACAGTCTATGTGTGCTCCAAGGGATTGAAACCGATGACCTTTGTGTGGTTATGCTCTACTTGTTGAGCTACAGGAGCGATACACTGGACTTTAATGGCAAGATTTAATATATATAAGGAGCATGAGGTAATTGGGTCCCTCCCATCCACACAGGATGCTGCTCCATAAAACGACAAGGTTGCAAGGGAGTAACACTCCACTATGGAGAAGGCTGCATCCATAATTCTCTCATGAAGAGACTTCAGAACTGCTAAGGGAGGGCTCTCCACTACCCGGACCCATCTCCATGGCAACCGTGCTGGCCACAGGAGTCAGATGTAAGATTAATTGAAAAAATAAAAGACCGGTTGGTTGGGGGTGGGGGGTGGATACCTAGGTGATGTTTGAGGCCTGAAACTATCCGGGCATGACACAAGGTAATCTGCGCTGTGTCAAGTGAAGGCAGGAGGAAAAATAAAAAGCGCTTCCTACCTGCCATTCCTTGAGCTATCTGGTCCAGACTTCTCCAGCATTGGGTGAGGTTTGATCAGAAGGCACCGATAGGGGCTCCACTGAGAGAACCGGCTCAGCAGGTCAAAGAGGTCTCAACTGACCCCACCCACCCTGAGGCCGTACTCAGGGAAAACCTTAAACTGGGCTTTCATTCACGTTCATTTTAGCAGCCTGTTTGTCCAAAGCAACATACAAGAGAGTATTAGACAGCAGAATCAGAGTTTCCTGGAGCAACTGGGATGAACAGCTTTGTTCAGGGACCCAATGGTGACATCATTATACTAGTCATGATCCAACGAATGCAATATCAGTGACCTTTCATAAAAATACCTTAGATCTGAAATCCTTTGCTTCAAAAAAGCTTTCTGTAATCTGTATTAAAACTAATTTAATTTTTCTTGTATTTTCATACTTTTTAATGAATGAATGGATGTTGCTCAACCTGTTCATATTTGTCTCATATAGCAAATAAGTCAGTGAAAATGTCCTACCCATTAATCAATGTATCAAGCTCAATACGAAGAAATCCAGCACTGTACAGTGTAGAGAATGTTTCCTTACCTAAGAAACAGCCCTGGGAAAACCTTCTAAAAGTCCCCAGCAGAACCTTAGGTTTGACTGGGCCAGAGGAATCAGAGTGGCACCTAGTGGACTCAGCCTTCATTACAGCTCTTTGGTTTAGTTTTTACTGCAAAATAAAATAAAGAAGCAATAGGATGCGGCTGTGGCGGTTTCCAGAGAACTGGAAGTCAAAGGACCAGATGCAACTTAAAGCGGCTTGAACAAAAAGAGGACACTAATCATCAAATCATGCCTTTGGTGTCACACTTCAATATCAGAACCTCACAGACCAGCAGGTTTCATCTGCACTATTTATCAAAAATTCAACTCTTACCAAGCTGTCCTACACTTGTGCAGTAGGAAAGCTCACGGACGATGGGCAAGTGAAAGGGGCCACATAGACCAAATGTCTATAGACTGTGGGAGGAAACCGCAGATCAAAGGGAGAACATGCAAACTCCAATGGTGTTTCTCAATACCAAGAACGCAAAAATTGTACTTGACAAGACTGGTCTTGCTAACTTGCCTCCCAAGCACAAACTTGAGGCACAATGAATCATGGGATTGGTCTCGTTTGACGAGGGTACAACCGATATATCCTTGATATCTGGGGCGTGGCAAGAATGACAATTGGGGATATTTACTGTCCTCTGTACTTCTTGAACTGGTCTTTGGCAATGTAAGGTTACATAAAATTAGTACATGAGAACACAAGTACAGTCTAGTATGCATACTGAGAAAAAGTGTGAGAAAAAGTGTGAGACAGCAGTGCCACCTACAATTGCATCTACTGTATACTGCCACATTTATAGTAATGATATCAGAATCAGAATTCAGTTTAATGGGCAGGAACACTGGCATGTAATAAGAATGTGTTTGGGCAGTATTGGTGCATGCTTCACAGACAATATAGAACACAAATTAAGACAAAGAATATACGTAGAAATTCAATAAAATTGAATGACATAGAATTAAGCATGAAAAAAATAAAGTACCTAATAGAAGTATATACAAATAAATAATGTTATACATTGTAATGTTATACATTGTAATGTTATACACTGAGTGTTATACACTGAGTGTTATACATTGAGTGTTATACACTGAGTGTTATACACTGAGTGTTATACACTGAGTGTTATACATTGAGTGTTATACACTGAGTGTTATACATTGAGTATACACCATTAGCATGGCCCTGGCATGAGACTAAATCTGTATGACAGTGTTCAGCTCATCCCTTGATAAAAATCACTGAGTGATGGTGAGCCAGTGCTCCACACAGTGGTACAAGCAGGAACACACTACTCTGTCACCTGTCAGGTTCTGTCGCAGCGTCCTCTCCTTTCAGAGCCACAGCGGAATAAAAACGGAGCAGCACACTTCTTCCCAGCTATTCCTCTCTCTGCCACCACCACCTGCCACGTGCAGGTTCAGAACTTCCGGAAGCTTCTCTGTATCCGACTGTGCCTAGGAGACAGCCATACAATGAGCTAAGCTCCACAGCATCGGACATACATCTCCATAAATAACTGTATCATACTGATCCAACATTTATTCTGTGAGATGGGGTACAGTATTTTATTCCCGTCATTGACACATGACCTGAAATCATTAGCCTTACTTAGAGCAATACGGTCCACATTTAGTCAAAGTAATATGTATCAATATACCCTCTCTGTGTGCTCCTCAGATATTTCACACAGACATAAATTAGTCAATTTCTGAGCTATGGATGATCCTCTCTAAGCTCCGGCACTTGCCTCAGCGGCCATAAGCTGACTGAAATGAGCCGCACGAATCAATGACCCAAAATTATACTTCCATATGGGTTAGCCATGTTAGAATACTAGGCTAGTAGAATCCTGGGATAACCTGTGAATGAACCATTTTTAAAGGACATTCAGAGGTTTTTTTAAAGAGGAGTTTGGTGACTTCAAATTGAGAATAATTGAGAAATTAAACACACACACACACACACACACACACAAACACATGGTCACAGGGCATAACTCTATGTACTCCACAAACAAGCAAACTGCCCCCTCCCCCAGAGCTGCTCTCCACCCCCATTCACAGGCCACAAAGCTGTTTCTTTTGACCATTCCAGAAATAATTAGACCCTTCCATCTTCCGGAACTGCTTATCCATTGCAGGGTCACCATGAATCTGCAGTCGGTCCAAGGAAGCAGCGCACAAGGCAGGGGACGCCAATCCATCACAGGACACATAAACCAGGCACATTAAAGGGCAATTTAGAGATACAAAATCCACCTGAACCAGTCAATCAAAATCAACCACTATAAATAACCACTTAATAATGCTGAAAGGTATCTTAACTTCAAAAGAATATTTCATAATGCAGAAACTAGCATCCACTCGTAAAATACTTAGCTATTCTAATGTATGGAGACTTATTATATTCAATAATGACCGAGACTAATGAAATACATCCCATTACACAGCCTTTCTCCCAGCCTTCAAATCTCCCAGCTATACTTGCCCTTGAACAGTAGTCAGGATCACATGAAACACCTCCAGACACAAGCTGGCTGTCAGTTGTTGCCTGACGTGTCACAGATGGTGTAAACAGCAACATGCTGAGGGGGGGTGGGGGTTGTGAGTCAGGTGACTGTCATGCTGATTTGTTGCACCTGCTGCATGTTTCCAGAGACCCTCCACAGTCATGTTTTACTTTCATTTCAACAGTAACCTGTATAAGACATTTTTGACCCCAGATATCCACAGTATGAGGTTTCCCTTCCCATCTCTGTCTAATAAGGCATTTTTGTGTCACCCTCAAAAGGCACTGACCTAAAAAATGTGAGGAGCTTCACACCATGACAGGCCTCCCCACAGGCACTGCGGCAACAGGTGGCCCTGCAGTTAGGGATTCCCCAAATTTCTACAGCAAAAGGTTGGGTTCTGCAATTTGATTTGGATGAAACCATGTACAGGTAGTTCTTTATTGACCTAATACATTCCACAAACCACCTATGCAAGTCAAATTTTACATAATTCTCTCCTACCATTCAAGACAATCTTATATGGCACTGTTTCCAAAAAAAAAAGTTGGGACGCTGTGTAAAATGTACATAAAAACAGAACACAATGATTTAGAAATATATAAACCCATATTTAATCAAAAGTAGAACAAAAACAACATATCAAATATACGCTCAATTTCAATTTCATGCCAACAACATGTTTCAAAAAAGTTGGGAAAAAAGACTGGAGAAGTTGTGTAATGCTAAAACAGAACACCGGGTTGAACGCCCATTTTTTACAGAAAAAAAACAAGCCATAAGTATACTAGTAACACATACTTAAGAACACATATTAATGAAAAGATTAAGTGTAAATTTACTTACAGGCGTGTTGCTCTTGTGTTGGTGCTTACTCTATCTCTGATATGTTTTTCGTAAGACCGGACTTTCTTTAGTCTGCTTCACACAAGTCAAGAGCTGTCTGTACTAATAAAATGAACACCAAGAATGCAGTCCATAGCCAATCACCTCTCTTACTATGTTGGTAACACTTTACTTGAGGTGGCACAAATAATATAGTACTATGCTGTTACTTACTCATTTACTAACTATATTTGTCACTATATCTGTTAATTCTGCAGTGAACTGCTGCAGGAAGTACTGAAGGGATCAATAATGAATAACACATGAAATACTCATTTTTGTTTATCATTAATGAATTGTGACACAAGTAGCTACTTTATTTGTTCATGATTTGTACTTCATATTATTTAAGTCACTACTAAGTATTTCTGCATTCTTGTCATCCAGTATCAGTGTTCATTAGGTTTTTGCTTCATCCAAAAACTCCACAATGAATTTGTGACAAAAGTGCCTTTTAGCCTTCCTGTCTGAGCATGCCTTTGTCGTCTACCCTGAAATTCTGGAGAAGCTCCATTTGTCCCCGTACTGTTGGCCTGGCCCCAACCAACACGTATCATACCACAGCCATTATATGGCAGATTGGCTCTTCTAAACCACCACATTTTGAATAATTTTATTTTTTTGGAAAAATCAATTGGTTGTTGTTTTACAAAAGAAAAATTATGAATGTCAACCAAGTGGATTTTGGATCGCAATGCTAACGTTACCATGGTTGCCATTTGTACAAATCATCGACACACAATTGTGCGGGTCCTTGATGTGACAAGCGGGGCTTCTGGAGAATTAACGTAATCCACATGACGGCTATCGAGATGTGATTAACACCTTTGTAAAACTCGTCACACAGGATAACTAAGGACAAAGAACAATGGTGTTAATCAGGGCAGACATCAGCCTCTTGAGCATGATTAAAGATGGTTAGCAGAGTAACCTTCCATCTCACCCACATCTCTCTAGCTGTGAGCCTGACTGGGTCATCAAATTCCCATATTATTCAGCAGTTGTCTTTTCTGTGATTGACCACCAAACCCCCCCCCCAGTCACATTAGAAGAGGGGCTGCAAATATATTCAAGTTTTCTAGGTTAAGAAGGTCTTAGCGTGCGACAAGGTGTTCAAAAAGCAGGCACGTTTGATTTCTGATATTCTTCATCTTCTCCACCCTGACCTTGGTTACGTCATTAAAACATGTTTACAATTATTTTACCCACCAAACCAAATCAAATTAGTGGATTTGCTCAATACTTTGCTTTCAAGGTTTTCTAAGTTACTTTAGAGGTGAGACAGGCCTTTAAATTATTCAATATTATAAATGTTTCTCAGTTTAAGAAAAGACAAAATATAATAACCCTTTTATGCCAAGGATAATGGAAAAAAACATGCTTATAAATTTTCAAATAGTGCAGTTACACTGCGCATCCAGTCACTGATTAGTAAATCATTTTCCCTTAAGCTCTCATTGGGTTAAACCAGGCAGTGATTCCACCCCAGGAGTCTCCATCCTACCATCTATTAAACACATTTCCTAGTCAGGGTCACATGGACACCCAAACTCTATGCAGACAGAGAAGAAGCAAGATTCAGTCCCACCAACACTGGAGTTGTCAGCCAACAGTGCTACCCCCGGACCAGTGTACCACCCTTCAATACGCGACTATTCTACTTCCCCGAACTGGACCCAATTAGCAAGTACACTGCATTTCCAATGCAGTTACTAGACACTCCCTCTGCCCCTGAAAAGCACTATAACCAGGACGATGTGTTAAGAGGCGCGGTTAGGGTCAGGTTTTAGGGTCTTTTGACCACAGGCCCCCTGACTGCCCATTGTGATCACAAAAAGAGTATCATCCCCACCCACATTTAGTCATCACACTAAACAAACACAAACCTACTCTGGATTTCCACTCAACCCACAATAACAGCTACAGGCCTTAGATACCAGAGGAGCTGGAGTGTGTCTGAAACCACAAGCGATGGCTCTGACAGCCTTTTCCGGCACCAGCTCATCAAAGGACTTTCCGGAGCTCGAGCAAAAAAAGACACAACACTAATACACTAAACAACAATCAGAATCTGTCGATTTTACCCCTCTTGGTTCACATGAGATGAAATGGTTGCATATAGTCAGGATGAGAAAAGCATCTGCAACCCATTCAGGACAGGCGTATCACACGTGACGAGTCACTGACACACCGATTACTCACATTGCTTAATTTATTAGCTCCCAGTCAGTAATCCCTCCCAACGTGGGCTTCAGTGCCTTAGTCCAACCATCTGGTTGTGAAACAGTGTGTGTAGGCATTAAAGAAAACCTGCTATAACCTACCAAAAGCACTACGTACCCAATTTCTTCAATTATATATTTATTAAATATGATCAGACTGGCATAGCATATTAAAACAATTTTCTATGGCTTAAGAAAATGTGCTTGAACCCAGGAAAAGTCAGTCACATTGAATAGTATTTATTCTTAACCTTAAATTAGTTTAATAGTTAATGGGAAAAGCAACTGTAGACTTTAAGTATTAACACTTTCAGCTACTAATAACTATAGATTAAGCATAACAGGCCCAGCTCCCATTAGTTAATGTACCTTCCAGATACTGATTACATCCATTATAATTATTTAGAATTACCTGTGCAGTCAGTGCTGAGAGCTACAGTCACACTCTTTGTAACGCCACCTTTTTCTGTTCCCTACAGCAATGCTTCCTCTGGGGTCTGAGTCGGCCAAATTCCCCCCCAAACTGAAACACATCTTATGATCTTTAAGATGTTACGGCTTGCCGGCCCAGGACTGACGCTCCTTAGGAACCCAGGGACCGACATGGGCTCTGAGTCAGTGCCGAGCGCCGGTGGTCCTGTGGCTCCCCAAACAGTACCGGCCACTACCGAGGTGCGGAATCCCAGCGGGTAATTACAGCATGGGCAGGACGCCCCACCGGCAGAGCGTGTCATTTGTCTCTGTGCCGCTAAACGTAGGAATTTACAGGCTTCCCACTGCACTCAGGGCAGCACAGGGGGAGCAGGCCCTTCCACACAGAGCCCACTGTTGGCCTGGTGGGAGCCTGAGGGGCGAGCAGGACCCGGCACTTTGGTGACCCCCGCCAGCAGGCCAGACCCGACACCTACAGCCGGGCAGCCCCTGACCCCCAGCATTCGTCCTGCCGCCTGACGAAAGACTAGTGGACCTTACAGCCCCCACCACGCGATTCCAAGCTCCTCCCCAGGCCAATATGAAGGGCATCAGCAGGCTGTTGATCCATCTGAGCCCGTACCATTACAGCCAGCCCATCCCCCCCCACCCCCCGCATATATTTTTGGATGATTTTCTGCAGAAAAACTGCAGCCCAGTTAGTGTGTTCCACGGATCGGTCGCTTAAGTGTTCTCAAGAAATCTGCAGCCAACTTGGAATTCAAATAAGCCAGTGTGAGCAGCCAGCCTTTGAAATGAATCCTCTTGTAAGCGGGCTAATTCCACATCACACCGCTAAGAGGACGTGGTGGGGGGGGCGTGGGGTCGCCTTCCAGCATTATGCTAACATACGAAATAATCAAATAGTATTACTTGGGCTATAGTCCAGTACATTGTATGAATGTTGCCAAAGCTATATGAACACACTAATGGCGGTTTAAAACCTCATCACTTCATTGTCATGACACGTGTTACCTGTGTCAAAAAGGAAGCTACAGATAATATTGATTCTCTTCCCATTTCATATTTGTATTGAGGCTGAGGCCATCACACGTTTCGAAATGCTTAACAACCAACCAGGATGAGTGCAGAAAGGCCACATAACTGGTTAATTCTCAACTGACCATCTTCAGCAGACACCATTGCCCTGAATGTGCAGTTCATTTACTCCTTTCTATTCCTCCTTCACAGCGAGGTGCTGCAGCTCACGGCTCCTCGGTGAACGTTTGTGCCATCTGTGTCGCCAAGGAAACACAGACGTGTGCTGTTGCACACAAGCGTCAGACCCTAACAGTCTTTCCCCCTTGGGCAGACCCCCCCCCCAACACACACACACACACACACACACACACACTGGACATGACTGAAGACATCATATGTGCCCTTCATAACCAAGCGATGACAGTAATGCATATACAGCACCAAGCAACGTATGCTAACATCCAAAAAGGCCAGCATTAGGTGAAAGGTTAAAAGGGCTTTGGATAGATTCCCTCATTTTATTTACTTGCAGTGACTGGCAGTATGGCCTGGAAGGCAGTAGAGACCTAATTGTTTTTGGTTTAGATTAGTTTCTATAAAAGCCTACAAATCCCCCATGTCTAAGAATGTTTTATTGAAGATTAATATATCATTATACTACAAAGACTAACAAGCTGGAAAACGGGCACTAATGGAGCACAAATCTATTTTTATACTGCCCCTTTTGGTACCACAGACCATCAGAGCAACATTTGTACCAGGACGTCGAGGTGGGCGCCAATTCTCCCATCTTTTTCGAGTTAAAACTGACACGTAACAAATCCCCCAGTACATGTACACACAGTCGTATTTCTCGGGTCAGCGTTTATACCCCAGTGCCGATCAATGAAAAGAAACTTCCATTAGTCGTTTGGTCGTACAAGCTGCAAAAAGGAAAACGTGAGTGATGTGGGCATTCTGGGAAGTGTTGATCCTGGCGGTACGTGTATTTGGCCAGACATAACCACTTTGTCATGCTATCGAATGCCATAGGGATTTTGATTGAAGTTTTCCATCAAATCCTCCTTTTATTACCTGAGAGCATAAATGCAGATTTTTAAAAATGCATTGCATGACAGCATTTACGGCTCAAACAAGGGCTACTGTCTAACATCACTCATCAATCGTGATGTGGCAGCCCAGAGCAGGAACTCAGAGGGAATCACGTACTCAAATGACGTTTTTTTCGCGCGGTGTCACCGCCAGAACACGACTGCACTCCTCCTCCATCTGTTTCGCTCACATTGAGGTTAATTAGATCGAACTGCAGTGGGTCCGCCGCATTAACGCCCGACAACAAAAGACAAGGCGATTAGCTTGCTTAACCAGTTTATAACGTGCGCGGCTATAAGTCTGCTTTCAAAACCTGGTAATTACGGCTTTTGCCCAGAGGTATCAGAACCGCGCCGATTCCCCCGCCAACAGCGTACGACGGGGCGTGACCCGAGCCTCGATATGATTGGATAGCCGTTTAATATATTCGTAAAAGTAGCTGTTGATTGGGTGTAGAGGGTCACTCGGTGTAGAGCGCCAGAAACGAAAGTTTAGCGGGTGAAACTTCCCATTTCTAACATACGAATGAATTAAACTTCAGCGGTAGCGGACTGAACAGGACCTGGTTCGTGCTAGTTATACTTAAACCGATGACGGAGCGAAACGCCCTGGAAGTCGAAGAATCTGTGAAATACTTTAAATAAAGTACCCTGCGACCGGCGATCGAGGCGTATTTATTCTCCGGAAATTAAAGGTAATGCACGAGATGTAACTTGTGACTAAATGTTAAACTTTAAGTTTATATTTTGTTTACGTGATCTGACTAGCGGGAAAAAATAACAGCTAGCTTTTAGCAACGAAATATTTTATAATACTGGACGATTCACATGAATGAAGCTTAGAAAACTTAATAAGCTGGAGACTTGGGCGTAATTAAACAGTCTGGTTAAAGATCTAGCGAGCAAGTAAAGTCACGGAAACGGGCTATTAATTTGGATACAAAATGAACAATACAAATTAGCTATATGCTGTGTAAAACGATTGGATGTTTTAAAATAACCTTAAAGGGGGTATTTGCCTTATGAAATGTCCTTACTAAACCGGAATATGTGGTTTGTTAGCTTGTTTTAATATTTGCGCCAAAATCAGCTAACCACAGGCAGTCCGCCGAAAGTCTGATCAAGGTACATGACTAGGGAAAAAACTTATACGGCATAACTGATGAAGATACTGTTTTTGCGGGATTTATATCTCCATGGTTATACTGTATCGCTTTTATTTAGTGGCTCTGATCTAATGATTTTTCTTCAGTTATGGAACCGGAATGTTTCGCATTACGCCATCTGATGAGTCCGAGACGGAATAAGACAGATCTCGAAGAAGAAGAGGGCAAAAATGGTCAGAAGGCAAGTATTTTAAAAGAAATTAGAAATGTGTAAATATTTTGCAGTATATTTCAATTGCTTCTGTTCCTATAGGTATTCCATTAGCTCAGTAAAACACGGTGTTATGCTGCTGATGGTTATGCAGATAAATGTCTTTGCTGAGAAAACATTAAACGTTCCATGTCATTTATTTCATTTCCTGGCTTATTTCAGGAAAACTACGTGGAGAGCAAGGGGGCCTCTTCCCACAAGTGTGATCACACGTCCTCCGTGCTCTGTGGGAAGAAGGGCCTGGGCCCAGACCAGCTGCAGATTACCCCTAGCAAGCCCGAGGAGGGTGTCATCTCGGACCCCCTGACACCCACCGCCAACCTTAAGCTGCTCATCAACGCTGCCAGCCCAGATATCCGGGTCCGGGAAATGAAGAAGATACTTTTCCGTCCTATTGAGAATGAGAATGTTGGTGCGGTCTTGGACAATCACAGCCAGGTATGAAACCACCATTAGCAAATAATAAGCATGGATTCGGTCTTCTGGATGGATAATGGAGCATAGCAGAGGTAGCCTGCTGGTCTCCAACCTGTGTGTGTTTGTTTTTACATTACACAGTTAATATAATGAGAAAAATGTGGGTTGAGTCATTAAAAACAGATTATGCTTTTGTTTGTGGCCAAGTCACATCAGTAGGTCTCGTCATGCCCAGATCGGAGAGACTACGCAGCTTTTCGCAGTAACCGATTAGGTCGCCATTGAGATGCTGTCTACACTTGGTTTTAAATGTCTTGAGCGATCGGATCATAAGTAGACAGCAGAGACGTCTTTACACCTGTGTCTATCAGGCGTCTCCAAGGTCCAGCTAACCACTTGTGTTCAGATTTCATTATTACCCCATGCACAGTATTGTAACGTCCTTGTCGGGCGTATCTAGGACGCATTAGCATTTACACCACAAAAGATGTGTGGTCAAATGTGTCCCACACCACCTCTGCAAGTAGTTCGAGTGATTAGATCGTAATACATCCTGGTGGTCGTGTTACACTTGTTTTTAGCGCTGTGTATCTCCAGTCTGATTGGCCAAGACCAATTTTAAAACCAGGTGTAAACAGGACATAGATTCCGACACTTGCTTCTGCAGGCCTGACTAACTTTCTCTTTTTGGTGCGTTTCTTCAGCTTGATGCGAGGGATGATGCCGCAATGGGCGAGTTTGACCAGAAGCCCAGCCGGAAGCAAAAGAGCCTCAGTCTCCTGTGCCAGAAGTTTCTGGCGCTCTATCCCATCAACCCGGGACCTTCTGAGACCATCAGCATCTCTCTGGATGAGGTGTCCACTAATCTGGGTAAGAGGCATGAGAATCAGGGCTTGCTTCAGAAATGCAGTGCACATGCTTTTTTTTTTTCCTACTACGTATTTGCTTAATTAAAGATGGCTGAGAGGAGTGTGTGTGTGTGTGTGTGTGAGAGAGACATAAATATTATGTTGTTGGAACCAAATATCCATTCAATGTGGTAAAAAGCCTGTATTTTTGTCCCCACAAAAGGACACTCGGTTTTATAAAAATCAGTGATTGCAATTGAAAAACTAAAAATGCCAAAAGACTTGTATTTTGTTTTGGTTACTTATGGTTAAGGTTACGGCTAGGTTAAGGTTCTCATTGTTGGGAGTATGGTTCCCCCCCCCATAGAAATGAATGGATGGATGGTCCCCACAAAGATATTAATAGAAATGAAATGTGTGTGTGTGTGTGGAGTTTGCATGATCTCCTCATGCTTTCTTCAGGTACGTTGGTTCTCATGCACAGTGCAAAAAAGTGACTTTGTGTGATTCACCTAGGGGGGTGGCCAATATGGATCTGTACTTTTGAAAGACTGTGATGTCACCCAGTCTGTATCTGCCTGGCAGGGGTGGAACGGCGGCGGATCTACGACATCGTGAACGTGCTGGAGTCGCTGAAGCTGGTCAGCCGCGTGGCCAAGAACCAGTACGTGTGGCACGGACGCCGGCAGCTGGAGTGCACGCTCGGGGAGCTGCACGCGCTCGGCCAGCGGCAGCGTTACCACCTACAGGTCGATCGCCAGCCGGGTCCGGCCGCACGAGCCGAGGAGCCCCCGGAGAGCGGCGAGGAGGGAGGGGATGAAGACGTCGGCTTGGGTGAGTGGCTGCAGCAGCTGGGGGTCTGGTCCCGAGAGGCTGAAGGACGTACAGTTTGTGTGCCGAGTCCTTTTATTTATGGCGAACGGCCCTAGTGTCTCTCTTCTGGTCGTATCATTGTTTCCATGACCTTTCTTCAAAGCCAAACTGATAATCTGGCTGCTTGTTTATTTATGAAGAACGGCCATATTCTTTACAATTCCACTTATCCAAGAGTGTGTGGCAATCCATTTTTACATCATTTCTACAAACATCCAACACTGTCAGGTTTAATAAAATGCTGAGAATTATCTGTCACTAATGGCTGTCATATTAGTAAAAGAAATTGTTGCAAAACGTTATCGGACATTAAAAAGCGTGGTGTTGTTGCTCCTGCGTTGGCAGTTGGTATTAAACAGCCTGTGGAAACCGAAGCTGTGCTCTGTGTTGGAAATTAAACCAAAAAAAATCTCTTGCTCTCAATTAAGGGGTTTAAAAACACCCCGTTTGCACAATGGGTTCTGGTTAGCAAAGCTCCCTCGTTGCTGGGCACTGCCCATGCTATATGCTGGTTGCCATGGTGCAGGCTTCCTTGGCAACGCAATATGGTGCCCCCCCCACCCACAACCCAAACAGCAGCTCTGCAGCATAAATGGGGAAAGTGTGCCATCTATCAGTTCCCAGAATTCCACTGGGCTAAGATGCTTGTGTCTAAGCAGCATGGATGATTTGTGGAGGCCAGTTTGTGGTTTGCTTACAGTTTCAGAGCATGAGCCAATCCGTACATACGAGGAATTGTAATGGGTCACTCACTCCTGCCCAGGTCTGCCCGGCACGAGGAAGAACAAGTCGCTGCGCATCATGAGCCAGAAGTTTGTCATGCTCTTCCTGGTGTCCAAGACGCGGGTCATCACCCTGGATCTGGCCGCCAAGATCCTCATCGAGGAGTGCCAGGACGTCGCCAGCCACAGCAAGTACAAGAGTACGTGCCTTCAATCCCTGGGCTTGTTTTTAGGTGGTGTAGCTGGAGCGAATTATTAGCTAAGCGCTGAAAGAATCACAAGGCGTTTCAATAAAACAAAATGCTCGAGGTTTGCAGATTCAAATAGAAGAGCTGTCGTAGAGGGTGTTTATTATGGCGCGTCGTGTGTAAATGGAGCTCTCTGGCTGGTTTTTTTCAGCCAAGGTTCGACGGCTGTATGACATCGCCAACGTGCTGACCAGCCTCAACCTCATCGCTAAGGTCCACGTGAGAGAGGAACGGGGACGCAAGCCAGCTTTCAAATGGATCGGTCCTACCGCTTTCCTGTCTGACGGTAAGACCTACCCCGGGTCGTTTCCTGTGACGTTAATGGCTGGGAGCTGATTCAGCCCAGGATGTCTACTTGAACTAGTTTTAATCTCATTTCACTTTTTTTTTTTTTTTTTTTGGTGCTGTTCAGGAGATTTGGATTCTGTAGCTGGACTCTCTCTCCCAGAATTCCATAGGGCCCCTGGGCAGACATCACTGGGGGCGTGGCCGAAGCCAATGTGCCATGTCCCCTTTGGCATGGTGCCCATCCCTGCTCAGCAGAGTCTCAGCTCAGTGCCCAGCAGCCCAGCCAGGGAAGATATAGGTAAGTGCTTCTCGGGGACCAGGCTGGCCTCTCAGGAAAGTAGCGTCTCGTTTTCACAGCTGTCCGTGCTGAACCAGCACAAACCATGTTCTGCCACTTTATTTTCTCGATACATTTGAAAGGTCTGCCAAAGGGCCTTTAGGTGTAGAGAGATGAGCAAGATTAACAAAATGCCACTTGATCCCGCCTCGCTCTGCCTGTAGTGGTCAGAGGCCTCTGCATGTCACGTGACACAGTCTCCCTTTGCGTGGTGCTCAGGTTTGATGCGGGGGAGGCCAGGTGGCACCAGGACGGCAGGGGATGATGCCGCGGCGTGCTGGGTGCCGGCCGGAGACGAGAAGAGGTGAGATACGAAAGGCTGTTGAACCCTCCGCAGTCCTGAGCGATTCGGAGTGTTTCATCTCCTGCTCTCAGTGCCTCAGTCAACTTTCACCAACAGTCATTTCCAGTTCCTTCTGTAATCCGCCCTACCCGCCGTGCCTTTGCCGGGGACTGCCAGGAACATGGGGGGGCCATTTTAAAAATAACCGGCCAAACTGGGCTGCGAGCTCTGAACCACACGACGGGACCCGGCTGTGCTCTGTGACCGTGATGCGTGAAGACTGCGGTTTCCATTGGCCGCGGTCAGGAAGTCCTGGTTTGGCACGGCCCGGTTCGCCTCTTATATCCGCGTGGGTTTGCGGTGTTCTTCATATCCAGCCTCCCCATTTATCTTGGCTCCCATGGCAAGTCTGATCTGGCTTACTTGCCCCCCCAAGCCGGATTATGGGCAGCGCCGGGGCGGTCTATCTGAACCGCGGGCGTCACTACAGCCGGCCTGTACGACGAACAGCGCGCCATGGATTTTGGCCGAAATTCTGCCTGATTTGAGCTTTGGCTAACGCCAGGTGATTTTTTATTTTTTTTTTGAGGCAAATTATGTAATGCCAAATCAGGAACACCAAATACCAGGTGTGCTGGTAGCTGGGAAGTAGTAAAAATGTGGACTGGCTGAGGTTCCCCGAGGACTGGGTTGGGAAACGCTGGTCTAGAGACACCTACCTTTCGGTTAAATACAGGATCCTTCACCATTATGCCGTGAAACATAGATCTGAAAATGCTTTTCTGTCTTCCTCAGGAAGCAGCCCGGCTTCGGCCCAAAGTGTGGGGCCCATGTTTCCGAGGCTGGGCCAGCTCATCCAGAACCGCCCAGAGGATTCATCCCCCTTCCGCGCTTCTACTCCAGCACCGGCCAGCCCAGTGCCTCCCCCTCGTCCTTGTCACCGACCCCGCAGATGGAGCCAGGTGAGGCGCGCCCTCCGGCGGCCTTGCCTCATCTCCGAGGCCTGTCCCAGGCACCCTTGGTAATGCTGTGCAGGGGCCCCACCCCTACTGAGATAGGGGCCCGGGGCCCCGGGTCACCGGCCAGAGATGGCGTCCTGGGGAAGCGTAGGGTGGATGACGCCGAGAGACGGATGCCCAAAAGGGACAGAAAGAACGAGGCAGAGGCTTCCAAAGAGGTGAGACTTTGTGCTGTGTAGGGGTGGGATCATCAAAGCCCAGATGTCCTTTGTTATAGGAGACTGAGACATTGTGGTGTAAATTCTCCATGTATTAAATGTAGTCTTTTGTCTTTTGTGTCTGGGTTGAAAATGAATGCACCTTTTTAGTAGAGGAATAAGCATTTATATATTTATGATGATTCATAATTTATACCTGAATGGTTCATTTATACGATTGTGTGGCACAGTTTTATGGGTGGAAGCTCATAATTCAAGGGCGCATTGAATGATTGAATCATTAAAAACCAGATATAAGGGCAGATTGCTTCCTTACATGAATCACTTCGGAAACATGAGATCCACCTTTGTCCTGGGAAGCTTACTGTCATGTAGTGTTATATGGGTTTCATTTTTTTCCCCCATTTAGATGGGGGTCATGTGACATGTTGTGTGGATGCTGATTGGCTAAGTGAATTCTGCTTTTAGGAAAATGCACCGCCAGCCAGGTTTATAGGCAAAACTGACTGCTGCTGTGATCTAGGCAGAAGGATGTTGATTTCACACCGTTATGTGATGATTGCAGTGAGAGAAGTTGTGCTGTTTAATTAGTCTGTGTGCCCCAAGGCTTCTTATTAATGACTGTCACTGGGAAATGACTTCCCAGGAATAAATATCTTGATCCAAGTCCTCTTAATTTGGAGGACTAGACTGTGTGCGTTGGTGTCATTCATTATACTGGCTCCCCTGGATGACGTCATTTTTTGCTCTCTCCAGGATGACCGGGACCAGGCAGTACGGGAGAACCCCTCAGAGGGTTACGGTCCAAAGCCCCCGACCGTGTGCCCAGTCCTCCAGTCCCAGGGGGAGACGTGGTCCCCATCCAGGACTCTGCCCTCGCACTACCTCTACGTGCCCAACTCTGCAGGTACGCAAGGGCCTGTTTGCTGGTGTCCCACTAGGCAGAAACATCCCATGTTCTCACTTAGGAGTCCTGAAAGGGGGCAGGTTTAACTGAAGCACGGCTATAGGCTCTGAGCACCATACTTCCCGGAAGGCGAGGGAACTGTCCTCTACCTTTAATTAGCAGATGCTTTTGTTCAGAGTGAGTCCGATAACATAGCTGGCCAATCCCGAAGTGAGTGTTGTTTGTTACCCATGATGCACCGTGATGACCGGGCCTGATCACATGACTCTTCTTCCTGCCCTCCTAGGTCTTAACGGCCTGAACTTGCTGCTCTCTTCCGGGCACATGTCCGGCTCGCTGGCACTCGCCCCGAACGCAGTTTCGGCCATGGCTGTGCCCTGCGTTCTGCTGCCCTCCCCTGCCCTCCCCCTCATTGCTAGCGGCAGGTTTGGCATGCCAGCTGTGGTGTCCCCAGCCCACATGGTGCTTGGCGGGCACACGGTCACCTCCCCGGAGTCTGGCCGGTCCCCGACAGTGCCCTCCAGTCCAGTGCAGATGCCGAATGGGAGCAGGGTCCAGCCTCATGTAAGTGCTGTTTATTCCTCTCAAAACCTTAAAGGCTGTAAGACACTGGGTAGCTGTGTGGGTGCCGTGCTCACTGGTGCCCCCTACAGTCAGCAGAATGTTAAACTGGCCATCCCTGTCACTCCGGCTACATGATGCACACAGCATTATGACATGTAATTAGTCATTCCCAGCTATTACACGATCAGCTCCTGCCATCTTTAAATAACATTTATAAATTGGGGTTCTTGCTATCTAATTTTTATATTCAGATTATGATTATCACCTTTTTGCTTCGCGTGGCCTTAAAAATTTCTTAGCATTAATATTTAAATTACCATATTGGGGAGTGAGCTTTCTAACAGTGGAATTTGAGGGACTTCTGGTTCAGAATTGATTTCTCCCTCCGTTCTCCTGTTTTCTGTGACCACAGACTCCAAAGGAGGTAGGTCCGGCTGTCTCGCAAGCCTTCTTCCAAACACCAGGGACTCTGGGCTGCACGGAATCCAGAAGCTCACCCCGGCGGGTCTCTGCCCAGAGGAGGCTGGACATTGGACAACCGACCAATTAGTATCTTCCTCATAATGGGCGGGGCCAACTTTAATTTCACCTCAGGGGTGCTGCTTCATCCAGCGATGGCATTACCAGTTACAGGTGTGTGTGTGTGTGTGTGTGTGTGTGTGTGTGTGTGTGTGTGTAAATATATAATTATTTTTTAGCTAAAGCTGATTCATCAGTGTTTCCTGAAAGCATGTAACTTAACTACGTTGAAGGTAATGTAAGGTGTTTTTTTTTTTTTTTCACTGTATTTAATGTCAGGAGAATGTTGGCCTGATGGTTTTCCAGCGTGTCTCCATTTCTGCAAAATTTGTTGCACTGCTCTCTGCTGGTGGGAGGAGGATAAAGGTCAATTGTTTTCTTGTTAAATTATTCAAATGTGATTGTATCTATTGTAGGTCATTCTGGGTTGTTTTATATTTTAAAGTAGCATATATTTTGAGCCATCTTTTTATTACAGATATATTTCTGAATTTCATTCGGTGCTTTTAAAGTGGGCTCAGCCTTCATCTGGACTGGCTGGTCTGTCTTTTTCAAACCTCAAGGATGACGAAAGGAATATTAAATAATAACTTGTAATTTTTCCCCTTTTGGGTGCCCATACCCAAGAATAGGAACCACTAAGTCATAGGAAGTAAGGATATTAGGTTATTGTAGCTCTAGGGTAAATGAGTGAATGTACCTTAGGAAGGCGATTAACACACTATGTAGTGACAGGAAATTTATATTTGTAGCATGTTTTCCAAAAAAAAGTGTTTACTTGAAAAAAGAAACTTGTATTCACAAATTCTCCCCCATCTGCAGGTAATCTTAAGCTACCAGCAAATTACTTTTGAAATGTCCTGTTTGTATTATCACACTATTAACAGTTCTCTGTTTTTAATATGACATCATAATAATGGCTAAGCTTCATTATACTGAAGCCTGCCTGAGTATTTGGGCATCCTGCTGCATGCCACAGCTGGGAGATGTATAGGATTGAGCTGGGATTTGTATGCACTACTAACAGTGGTGAGCAGAGTATTTGCGACCCAGTAGCCATGAGGTTAAAATAATAGGTGAAGCCCCCTACACTACTGATGAATGTAGCGCGTCTGATATTTGACGTGCACCTTTTTAGCACCTGGGTTCTGTGAAGCTAACTTAAAGCAAGTTTCACAGTGCACAGATGGTTGCCCAGTAACTGTTGAAGACCAACGAGAATATCTATGTACTGTAGCGCACAGAAGTATGAGATTTTTTTTTCATTTTAAATTGCTGAGTAGTGGAAATGGATTGTGTGTGAGACGCTTGGTGCTGAGGAGCATTTACTCATGGGGGGGGTGTACATCATGGGTATAGTATGTACTGTATCCCAGAGCCTTAATTCCTGTCCTTTTGAAATGCTGGATGTTTTGTTAAATTATTGCTGCTTTTATTATATAATTGCACTACCTGTTTCTGTAGTTTGTGCTTTGTAGTATTTTTTTTTGTTTAGGTTTTTTTTTTTTTTTTTAAAGCCTTGCATAGCTCCAGGATCGCTCTCCTGTCTCTCATGCTGCAGAATGGATCAGACTCTGCATTCTTTCTAAAATACTTTGTAATAAAACACCACACTTTGGCAGTGTCAGTTTTGCAAGCAAAACGTAGAATGTACCGTTTCGTTTTTCTCTTTCTTCCTTCCTCCCCATCCCCTGCCGGCCGACAGTCTCTGACTCTGAGTTTTCTGATTTTTTCCCCGGATCATCGTGGCAGGAGGGCTGATTTATTTGGCCGCAGATGGATGGATGCTGGTCCGCACAGTCGGGTGTGAATGATTGAATGAGTTGAGGCCTGTGGCACTTTGCCCTTAAATGATCTTCTGGAGGAACCAGGCAGGGAGGTTTCTTGGAAGACTGTCCATTCCGGTCTGTGCGTGCATTAGTCTGCCTTGATATCTTCATGGACCTAAAATGTGAACTATACTAGTCTGTCCAACAGGTGGCACTGCATTACAAATCCTCCACAAGTATGGTATTGCTGAATTAAAGCACACTTTATTCCTCATTTTTACTGTACACAAGTCAAGGACCTGCTTATGCTTATTCCACAATAAGCATTTTAATCCCTAGAGAATTAACCCGTAGTAGCTGTAACTTAATGAGGATGAATATATAGATCAGGGGTCTGCAACATTTTATATAGTGATCAGAATTGAACATGAGTAAATTATGCACAAACCAATTTTGGTGGTTAACAACGCCATACCTTTTTTAATGGCCGAACTCGCTGGAGCCCGTGAGGCCCGTCTGGGGAGGCGTTTTTCTCGTTGCCTGTAAGTTTCCTTACAGTTCTGGTATCAGTATAACACACACCAAAAAAAGTCTGGATTCCCGACTCCATGCAGTCGGGAGTTTGTAGAAAATCGAAATAAGGTAACATTTAAAAATCATTTAACACAATGTGGTCTATTCATATGTAAAATTGCTATGCAAGCATAAGTTTACCTGGGATTGTCACGAATCAATCACTGCTAATCAGCAGTTAGTTTAAGAAGATGTGGAGTACGTTAAACTTCTAAGCACTTCGAACACCCGTACCACAAAAATTAATGTTATCTAAGCTTCTGTAAGTGTAAAACAATATAAGCAGACTGCTATTGTTTTGCGCATTTAATTAAGTTTTATTATTACGTGGCTTAATCTCTGCTCAGATTACATTTTCTGTGGACACCAATTTTTAGTGCTAAAATTAATTTAGGGGAATTTCAACAATCGATTTCGGCCTAAGTCTCAAACTAGAACACGTTTTGACCGCTGAAATCAGCATGATGATAGGTTACTATTCCACGGTTTAAAAAACCTCATCGCTCATCAATAAGTACCTAGTCTCCTTAGCAAACCAACATGCTGCAAAACATTTCCTCACTTTATCACTGGGTTTACAGGAGTGCTTAAATGTGACATCAAACACCTACCTCAGGCCGTTGCACCAAAAACACCAGCAGGTCCTCAGGTGATAAACAGACCTCTATTCAAGTGAATGTTCCATAACAATGGTCTGTTTTTACACATATATTCGGCCTTACTCCTACCCTTTATCTAATAGTTTAATGCAGACAATAACCACAAGAAGTATGCTTATTTTGTTGAACAGCAACTCCGTAAAACAAGATTGTAGCTTAATCTGCTCTATGCATTGTAATGCAAATGTGTGGAGGACTGTCAGAGTTTATTCCTGTCAAGCATGAAAAGTCAAGACTAAAGTGTAATCAGTTCTTACTGCACCCTATAATCCTCCAGTGTTTGCGTAAAAGTTGCGCATGCTGCGCTAGGCGCTGATTGGTGTTTCCTGAGAGCACCACGTGACAGCTAAACTTCACATCATCTCATTGATTGGTTCAGCATGATTAAGGCTGTGGGTGCCTACGTCCTGGGAGCAGTTCTGACACTATTAGGGCTGTAACAGCGCAGGAGAACATCAGTATATCGTCCATTTAGTGCTTCAACGTCATTTTTCTATGTTGCTCCAACATTGTTTTTATTTATTTTGCTCAAACTCTGTTTTCTGTGTATTTAAACTATTTAACGTCAGAGCATTGCTGCATGAGCATACAAACCTGACAATGTCCTAACCCCTATAAACATATCAAGTGAGGGAGGGGAAAAATCACTCATTTGAAACAATTAATGTCCTTTTAATATACATTTGTGACTCAACTTTATTTATACAAAAAAATAAAATGATTAGTTAATATAAACAATGTAAACAGTGCAACAGTTAAAACAGGAAATGATGTAAACAGTGCAGTACCACTAACACCACTAAAAAATTAGATGTCCTAAACAGCCAACATGAACAAGATTAAGATTTAATTGAACATATGCTGTAACAAAGACACGTGTTTTTCCTAACTTAACGAAGGCGTAACAAAGGTGATCTCACATGGCATCTTCCACTTCTTTCTCTGATGTTTTGGATGCCTTGATAGATAGATAGATGATAGATAGATACAGTAGATGTCTTTATTGTCACTGTACAAGTACAGCGAGATAGCG